TTGCATATTTGATAAAAGTTTCGTAGAGATTGAATATCCATTAACGATGCCAGAGATGAAAGAAACTGACGCGGATGATGATTCTAGTGATGAATCTGATGATGCTTCTCTTGAAATCTTAGACAAATTTCCACTATGCCCAAGAAAATCAAAGGAGAAATCTTCGTTGCCATGTCCACGGCCTCACAAGAAAAAAAGAACAAGTTCAAGTGGTAAAAGCACAAAACAACATTAACTTACAATTGGGTCCAAATCAGAAATGAAATTTATGGAATATTCATTTGGTTTTCCATGTTTTATATTGTTGCATTTTCTGCCATTCTTCTGTTCTAAGTTGTAATTTCATGTTATATTCTTTTACAGGCAACATTGATTTTCCAGCCAAAAGACATGATCAAGGCACGTCTAGCACCCCGAGATTCCTAAAACGAACACAAGTCGTTCGTGGGAGGATGCATCCATTGACAACAAGTGGAAAAGCTTTAGCTCTTCAGAGAGCAAAAGCATACAAATCTGACAAGCCTTCTTTCATAGTCCCCATGCATCGTTCTTATATCGGTCGACATCCAATGGTAAGCTTCTATAGACAACCATTCTGGGCTATCACAACTTCTGCTAACTTGGATGTATAGATCATTTCAGTGTGAAAAAGAATGGAGCAAAGATACATACTTTCACAAAACAAAATCGTAAATATTTTCTCTTCAAAATTTTCTTAATGTCATTTTCTTGTTTTCCTTTTAATTACTTTCAGTGGTTGACATCCGATTTTTCCATCCTTATGGGACATCTTAGTAAGAATTCTGCCAACGTTATCCTGTGGGATTTGGGTGGGAGAGCTTGGGTTGTTGAATTTATAGCAAAACCAAGGGCCAAGTTCCAGTCTGGTTGGCATGAATTTGTGCGAGGCAATAATTTGAATATTGGTGATGTGTGCGTCTTTGTGTTGATTGATGACACTAGACTTGTGTTTGAAGTTGTCATTTTCCGTGCTGTAGAAGCTGCAAATTGCACCTTGTCACCAGGTACGTTGTCTTTTAAATTTTGAATTAATTTTGATGGAAGTGCCATAAAGATTAACTATCTATCCCTCATCTATTGCAACATGCGGCAGATGTTGATGGGGAAGAAACTGATGAGGATGATGATTCTGTAGATAGTTTGGATGACTTTCCACCATGCCCTAAAACAAGGAAGATATCTCCAATAGCACCACAGCCTCACAAGAAAAACAGAACATGTTCAACTAGTAAAACAAAAAATATCGAACATGTTTGTGGCTCATCTAAGACTCGAAAATTCGTAATTCGAAGACCTGAGGTTCCAAGGAGGATGCATCCAGTTGCAGCAAGTGGAAAAGATAGAGCTCTTCTGAGAGCTAATGCTTACAAATCTAAATACCCTTCTTTCACGGCTGCTATCCATCCGACAAATATATGTGGATGTTATTTGGTAAGCTTTCTATGTCGCATACAACTTCTGCTAACTTCTATCTGTATATGCCATTCTGAAAACAACTAAGCTAGAAAAGATACTTCCTTTTGCATAGCAAATGACATCATAAATATACTCTCACAAAATTTGATTGTTGGTTTTCCTGCTTTCCTTTTTTTCTTTTCAGGCTTCGCCAGCCGAGTTTGTCAAGGAACATCTTAACCAGGCTCATGATAAGGCCATCCTTCGTGTTTCGGATGAAAGAACTTGGCATGTCAACTTATGCAAATACGGCAGGGCTTTCAGACTCCAGAGATGGATGAGATTTGTGCGAGAAAATGATTTAAAAGTAGGTGATGTGTGTGTGTTTGAGTTGATTAACAACATCAAACCTTTATTTAATGTTGCCCTTTTCCACGCCAAATAAGAAAAATTGAAAGAGTAGCCTGATGGATGAAGTAATTGAGGAAGCTGAATATTTCACCAAGAATACTACCATGTTGAATCTGAAAATAGAAGGCAGAGGAGGCCTGCAGATACCAAACTTGCTTATATATTTGTCCTCCATTGTTGTTTTTGATCACCTTAGAAAGGCACAGATCTAAGAATCTCTTTCTTTTGTTTTTGGGAATTGTAACTTCATCTTGAAGATTTACTTTGAAAAGGCATCAATGTAGAAGATCTCTTTACTTTTTTTAAGTCAATATCTAATCCATCTCTATATTATATAGTCATTGTACAATTTGTATCTATATATATAAAGCAAAAGGCTGAGAATGGTGAAACATTCAAAATACCAGAAAATGC